TCATAAATATATCAGAGACATACTTTTGTTGCTGACATTCTGTAGTACAGGTAACATACATGTATGTTACTTGTTACATAACTCGTTACCTCGTGATACTTGCTATTATGTATTTTATACATATATGTTACATTACTGTGTTTGCTGGGGCGAGTACTGCAAATGGCATTTAATCCTTATTGTTCACCGAATGTTAAACAAGGATAAAATGCCATTTGCAGTACTTGCAGTGAATAACGAAACGCAGCCTATATGTATATTGAGCAGCGAGCACCTTTGGTGCGTACGTATATTAGACGCGCAGCCCTTTTGCGCGTCGAGAGTGCGCAAGAAAGGTGTCCAATATCTCAATGGCTGGTGAACGAACAACGAACGTACGAAATATTTACGTATATGTAACACATAAATATACACAAATTTTTAACAAAACCGTGTTATTTAAATAACGTCATTATGACGTCTTACTTACTTCTTCCAACTAACGTCACTCCAAAGACCAATAGTTACATCATATATGACGTATACTTATGGCGTATATACTGACGTCATTGTTATGACGTTTAAAATAACGTCAATTTAGGTCATAGTCACCAATTAGTGACAAAAATCACGTTAATTTACGTCATTACGACGTCAGCTGGTTGCCTGGGCGTGTCTCGTGATATTTGATACATTGTTCTCACTGTTCTCAAAGCTTGCAAAGCTTAATTAATTAATGGAATTAATATAATATTTTATATTTTACAGGAAAATGAAATCGTTCACACATGTGGACTGTGCGAGATGGTTTGCATGGCCAATGAAATACAAAGCCACCCATGCCTGGAGTCTTTCGCCAGTTATTATCTGGACAAGCAGACATATTATTTTTATCCGCAGTGTGGTAAGTACTTTGCAGTGAAATGCATACTATTCTTAAAAATTTAATATGTGTGCTAGTACTGTAAAGTTTTTGTATGTGCAGAAGATGGAAAAATTCTGCGTAGAAGCCTGATGGACGGCACTGAACAAAATGTTTTGGAGGCGCTTGTTCGAGAGGATGCAGAGGAGACCGTTCAGGAGGCAGAAATGACAGACGAGGAGGGCTTCGACATAGAAAATCTTCCGGAGAATCAAAATCTCCGGAAGATTTTTATAGAAGAGCGTCTCATCGAGGCGATTCGGAGACGACCGCCTCTTTGGAACTTCAAGCTGCCAATTACAGAAAGGGGCATTCGGAGCAAAGAGAAGTTATGGATGGATGTGGTCGCAGTAATGAAAGGTACAATTTTTTGGAATATATGTGTTCGAGACGAGAGCATCTGGAAGCTTCGATTCAAAACCTTGAGTGCTTTCTTAATGTGCTTTGCACCTTAATGTGCTTTCTTGTTTCGCAGGTGTGGTTACTTTAGCTGACGCCAAAAAAAGTGGAAAACTCTATCGGATACATTCAGGAGGCATCGGAAAAATGCGGAGTTGCCAAGTGGTTCGGCAGCTCAAAAGATTTCCAAGTGGATTCACTTCGAGCGAATGAGCTTCCTTCGAGATGTAAGCCTTCAAAACAAGTATGTATGAACTGTACATAATAAAAATAACAAATTATAAAGATCACAATATTAAACAATCAGTGGTATAGAAAAGACCAATGAGAGTCAATGCGGTTATTAGTGTGCACAGGTGCAACTCACCAATTCAGGAAGCATGTGAAATACAACATAATTGAATGTTTCGGCTCAAGTTTCAATCGTTTTCAGCGAACATAATGTAGTGTTCGCTGAGAATGGCTCGAACTTGAGCCAAAACGAATTCAATTATTGCATTTCACATGCTTTCTGAATAAAATTTGGTGAGTTGCACCTGTGCGCATTAATAACCGCGTTGACTCTCATTGGTCTTTTTTATACCACTGATTGTTTAATAGAAATAAGTAACGTAAAAATAATGTATCTATATATAATATGTATATGAATTAATGAAAATTATTTCTTGCAATTTCAGTACGACATCGGACATCCTC